TCTAAAATAAATATGAATATGCATTAATTCATCTCACTCACAAAAAAAACACAGATTCAGTATTCCTCAAAATGAATAAAAAATAATGCAACTCAGAATATGACGCAAACCTGCAATAATTAAATGTTAAACAACACAAATATCCTTTATGTATTTAATCCAGTTCTATTAGCTTCTGAGCTTCAATGATCCAGTTCAACCGTACTAATAATCACACATTACTCTAGATGAACATTAGTGTCTTTTTTAATTGCTGAAGTGTGCTGAAATGTCTTCTTCTGCATTCTACTGTACTTTCCCTTCAGCCTGAGGCGCATTCATTTCACTTTTGGTGTGAAAAGGCTTTTATATTTGCCAAAAATATAACTTTTTTTATTTCAAAAACAAACAAGCAAGCCCTGGCCAGATTTAAAAAGTAACGCAACGCATTACTTTCCATAAAAAATAACTAAGTAACGTAATTAGTTACTTTTTATGGAGTAACGCAACATTGTAATGCATTACTTTTAAAAGTAACTTTCCCCAGCACTGGTTATCAGTGCATTACAATGGATCAAAAAAGATATTAGTACTTCAATATGTTGGTTTATTAACATTACATCAGTTAATGAAATACGGTATTTTATTGTGAATTTAAGCTAAGCCTGTTAAACCTAAAATGTTGCTACCAAATTTTTTCTGGTGAAGTTCTGGCAACCACAGCTGCCGGTATTTTACCGTACATGTCACAGATTTGTCTTGACAGTGTAATCCTGTGTAAGTGTACAGTACACACCTGACAGGAGTCCACTCCTCCTTCAGCAAAGCCGGCGCACAGCATTCGCTCGGTGAAGTTGTACTCCGGAAGCCATTCCTGACACTGTTTGTTGCTTAAAAGCGGCACAACGGCTTCCTGTAACACATCGGCTCTGGAGCCTACAGATCAACAACACACCGCTTACACACAACCACCAGAAACATTACAGACTCAAATCTCTGTGTGTTTGTGTCTATCTGACCATCTTCAGCCGTCAGTCCCCAGCCAGCAATAACACACTCTCTCCCTTCTTCAATCTCAGCTCCAGGATCTGGGAGGCAGATGGGCTGCACGTAATCTGGAAGATAATAATCCACTTCTATGGGTTGCATTTTCTTTTTAATGCTTGGCAGATCATTTCTTATTATGCACAATCAGTGCACTGAAGGGGAAAAGTGTTTAAATGTCATGAAAATAACATCACAACATCATAAAGGGGGCCAAAAATTGGCTTGATTTTCTTTATGCAAATAAATGAAGTTGCATACTAATTGCACCAATTACTTTAAAATCGTGGTAAAATCGATGAGTAAATCGTGGATGAAAAAGTATAGCCTAAAAAGTAACGCAACGCATTACTTTCCATAAAAAATAACTAAGTAACGTAATTAGTTACTTTTTATGGAGTAACGCAACATTGTAATGCATTACTTTTAAAAGTAACTTTCCCCAGCACTGGTTATCAGTGCATTACAATGGATCAAAAAAGATATTAGTACTTCAATATGTTGGTTTATTAACATTACATCAGTTAATGAAATACGGTATTTTATTGTGAATTTAAGCTAAGCCTGTTAAACCTAAAATGTTGCTACCAAATTTTTTCTGGTGAAGTTCTGGCAACCACAGCTGCCGGTATTTTACCGTACATGTCACAGATTTGTCTTGACAGTGTAATCCTGTGTAAGTGTACAGTACACACCTGACAGGAGTCCACTCCTCCTTCAGCAAAGCCGGCGCACAGCATTCGCTCGGTGAAGTTGTACTCCGGAAGCCATTCCTGACACTGTTTGTTGCTTAAAAGCGGCACAACGGCTTCCTGTAACACATCGGCTCTGGAGCCTACAGATCAACAACACACCGCTTACACACAACCACCAGAAACATTACAGACTCAAATCTCTGTGTGTTTGTGTCTATCTGACCATCTTCAGCCGTCAGTCCCCAGCCAGCAATAACACACTCTCTCCCTTCTTCAATCTCAGCTCCAGGATCTGGGAGGCAGATGGGCTGCACGTAATCTGGAAGATAATAATCCACTTCTATGGGTTGCATTTTCTTTTTAATGCTTGGCAGATCATTTCTTATTATGCACAATCAGTGCACTGAAGGGGAAAAGTGTTTAAATGTCATGAAAATAACATCACAACATCATAAAGGGGGCCAAAAATTGGCTTGATTTTCTTTATGCAAATAAATGAAGTTGCATACTAATTGCACCAATTACTTTAAAATCGTGGTAAAATCGATGAGTAAATCGTGGATGAAAAAGTATAGCCTGCATACTGTATACACTACCATTCTAATATTGCATTTTAAACACTATTTTAACAGATTTTAATGTATTTCTGTGATGCGCAGCTGTATTTTCAGCATCATTACTCCAGTCTTCAGTCTCACATGATCTTCAGAAATCAGTATAATATGCTGATCTGCTGCTCAAGAAACATTTCTGATTATTATCAATGTTGAACACAGTCGTGCTGCACAATATTTCTGTGGAAACCGTGATGCATTTTATTTTTCAGGATTCACAGATGAACAGAAAGTTTAAAAAGACAGCATTTATTTGAAATAGAAATCTACTGTAACATTATAAATCTGTCACTTTCAATTTAATGCATCCTTGCTGAATAAAAGTATTAATTTCTTTGAAACAAATACATCTGTTGAATGGTAGTGTACGGTACGACCACAATGCCATTCACGACTGAAAACTTTTGCACGATTGTTGTATTGGAAACAAACAAACAAAAAATTATACAAATGTGACCCTGGACCAAAAAAACAGTTATAAGAGTAAATTTTTTTAAATTGAGATTTGAATAAATAATCTTTCCATTGATGTACACTCTTAAAAATAAAGGTGCTTCAAAAGGTTCTTCAAGAGATGCCACAGAAGAACCATTTTTGGTTCCACAAAGAAGCATTCAGTCAAAGGTTCTTTAAAGAACCATCTCTTTCTTACCTTTTTATAATCTGAAGAACCTTTTTTCACCACAAAGAACCTTTTGTGAAACAGAAAGGTTCTTCAGATGTTAAAGGTTCTTTATGGAACCATTTAGACAAAAAGGTTCTTCTATGGCATCGTGAAGCACCTTTATTTTTAAGAGTGTAAGGTTTGTTAGGATCGGACAATATTTGAAAATCTGGAATCTGAGGGGGCAAAAAAATCTAAATATTGAGAAAATCATCTTTAAAGTTGTCCAAATGAAGTTCTTAGCAATGCATATTACTAATCAAACATTAAGGTTTGATATATTTACGGTAGGAGATTTACTAAATATCTTCATGGAACATGATCTTAATATCCTAATGATTTTTGGCATAAAAGAGAAATGTATAATTGTGACCCATACAATGTATTGTTGGCTATTGCTACAAATATCCCCCAGCGACTTAACACTGCTTCTGTGCTGCAGGCTCACAAATGTACCTTTAGCATGCCTGTAAAATGAAAAACATAGTAAAATACAACATTTGTAGAAACAAGTTTTGCCTGTGTACCTGTGAAGTTGGCAGGCGTCTGTAAGTGCATCAGAGCAAAGTCTGACTCCTTGGTTCTTCTGTTATAGCGCTGGTGCATGATCACGCGGTCGATCAGATGTGTTTGTCTGCCGGGGTTATCCGAGCCGAACTGAGAGTGAAGACCCAGCACCGCCGCCCAGTTTGACAGGTGCACGTTCTTTCTACAGGATCAAACCTCTTTCAGTTTCTCAGTGCGCTTGTGTTTTACAGTCAGCAGTGATACTTTTAAAAGTAATGCATTACAATGTAGCGTTACTCCCTAAAAAAGTAACTAATTACGTTACTTAGTTACTTTTTATGCAAAGTAATGCGCTATGTTACATTTGCATTACCTTTTAAATCTGGGCTGGGCTTGCTTGTATGTTTTTAATATAAAAAGTTATATTTTTAGCAAATGTAAAAGCCCCTTAATAACAAAAAGTGAAAGGAATAAGCCTCAGGCTGAAGGAAAAGTAAATTCACGTCTGTACAGTAGAATGCATCACTGCAAAAAATGCTTTTCTTACTTAGATTTTTTGTCTTGTTTCCAGCCAAAATATCAAAAAATTCTGAAATCGAGAAAGATTTTCCAGACAAGTAAAAATGATTGTCTTGTTTTCAGAAAAAACGAATCAAAATTAAGTGAGTTTTTGCTTGAAACAGGCAAAATAATCTGTCAATGGGGTAAGCAAAATAATCTTGTTTTCTGTTTTCTGTTAATAAGAAAAGCATTTTTTGCAGTGCAGGAGAAGAAACACTCCTTAGCAATAAAAAAAAAACAAAGCACAAATCTTAGTTTATCTAAAGTAATTTTTGCTCATTAGTATGGCTGAACTGAACAAGACACTGGTTAATAAAATAGGATTAAACACATAAAGGTTATTTGTGTTATTTAACATATTTAATTATTGCAGGTTTGAGTTATATTCTGAGTTTGCATTTCACTGTTTTAATTCATTTTGATGAATACTGAATCTGTTTTTTGTGCAGGTGAGATGAATTAATGCATGTTCATATTTAGTCTAAACGCGCTGCACTTGCTCCTGATCTCTGTCACCATGGCGACACCAGAGCTGTCAGTCAATAAATGGGAAACAAAGTAACTAGTGTTACTAATTTGAAAAAGTAAGAGATATTTTCTTGTAAATTTAAAAGTAATGCGTTACTTTACAAGGTACTTGAAAACAAGTAATCTGATTACGTAACTCGCGTTACTTGTAATGCGTTACCCCTCAACACTGATGATCAATACCGTATACACTGCTTACCCATAAACACAGTGTGCGGCTGTGATCAGCCATTCGCTGTCAATCAAAGTGGCTCCGCACACGTGAGTGCCCAACCAGCGCAGAGATGCTATCCATGGCCACGCCCCTTTCTGAGCATCCTGACCGCCCACCACTCGGCCCGCCTTGTTTCCGCTTCTAGTCTCACTGTTTAAGGGGACTTTACGTGCGCCACATGCTGTAAACAACAAGAGATGCTGGACTTCTGCTGATTTTGAGACTGAATGAAGCCGAGCTGCGGGTTTCAAACTTACGCTGATTGTTGCAGAGCAGCGACACGATCTTCCCACCGAGGCACGTGTCACTTTAAAAAGACACAAAAGAATCTGAGATTTCATAGGCCAATAAAAGTGTTTTTATTTTTCATCAAATGTATTATTTCAGTGATTACCTGGGTTTCAGATCCAGAGAGCCGTTAGTATTCACACTTACAGTAGTAAAGGGAGCATCTCCATCCGTAACGCTGGAGAACGAAGCATCTCCTGACCTGCAGACATCACAGTACACTTTTCTGTGTAGCCCTATAAAGCTACTGTATCATATTTAATACACACATTTCTAAAGCCTTTAGATTATCATTAAGATCAAAACATTTGTTTCCAATGAACAATTTACAGCTTCCATTCCTCTGTCGTCTGATTGATAGTTTATACTTTTTTAGCAAGTAAAAGGCCTTGTAGTTTAATTTGAAGAATTGCCTCTTTCTGCTGTGAAATCTTTACTGATTTTCATAAAGTATATTGTTTCATATATTTAAAGCTGAACATTTCTTAGACTAAAGCAACTAAGGATTAGACAATGCATTGCATTATAGGTTTTCCCCCCAGAATAAAAACTACAGAGCTTTGATCATAAAACTAAACATTTAAATCTCATCGTACTAAGGCATATTACTGGAGTGATGACTGATATTTATCATAAAGATCTCATTGATTTACAAGCGATCAGGATTTCATCTTAAGATTTGTCCATATATAAATATCAGCATTTTTGCAATTTTGCTCAGTTTGAGCCTGTATATAAAACCGAGCTGTTCTTTCCTCATGTATGAGCTCCATATTCTCACTGCGTCATATTATTTGCGTCCCTGCAGCACAGAAGCAGTGTTAAGTCGCTGGGGGATATTTGTAGCAATAGCCAACAATACATTGTATGGGTCACAATTATACATTTCTCTTTTATGCCAAAAATCATTAGGATATTAAGTAAAGATCATGTTCCATGAAGATATTTAGTAAATCTCCTACTGTAAATATATCAAAACTTAATGTTTGATTAGTAATATGCATTGCTAAGAACTTCATTTGAACAACTTTAAAGATGATTTTCTCAATATTTAGATTTTTTTGCACCCTCAGATTCCAGATTTTCTAATAGTTGTATCTCAGCCAAATATTGTCCTATTCTAACATCCTATCCCATATTTTTTTATATATTTTTGTCTAAAGGTTCAATAAACAATTACATTTTACTTATTATTTCATGTGTGAGGCTTGATATGATCATATTCTCACTGTCTTCCGTGATTAAGTGTTTACCTGAAGCCCAGGTAGCGGCAGAAGAAGTGTGAGAGCTGAGAGCTCCAGTCTTGAGCACACACCGTGTAAAGATGATCCTGGACCTGAAGTCTCAGTCGTTCAGCTGCAGTGACGTTCTCTTTGATTATATGCACTGAAACACAGCAGAGCCTGTGATGGCATGCATGAACGACGTGACTGGGTTTGTTATGGTTCAGCTTGTTGGCTCACCACAGCCAGCTTCATCAGAGCCGTCAGCGCAGTCTTCTGCTCCGTCACACACACCTGAGCTGGACACACACACTCCTGTGCCGCACTGAAACTGACCGCTGGGACACGGATCTGCATATTGACCAGAACTTATGTCATTTCTTAAGCCGTGTGCATGTGGTTATGCTGATATAGCGCACAGCAGAAAGCATACCTGGCTGCCCGAGGTTAATGCCTGTGCTAAAGTTGGCTAGAAAGCCTCTGTTGTTGCCCGAGGCATCTGTGAAAAGCATGACTGTCATCTGAGAGCTTGTGGAAAACAGATCCGGGAAGGAACGATCCCCAGTTAGGACACCTTCAATGACCAAAACACACATTACTTTACATTCTGTGCAAATAAACTAGTAAAAATCATTATGGCATAGTGTGTGCATTTCATATCAGAGGTCAATTAAATATTACAATTATTAATAAAGTATGTGACTTTTTTTTTTTAAAGGAATATTTTTATTCAGCAAAGATGCATTAAATTGGTCAAAAGTGACAGTAAAGACATTTATAATGTTGCCAAAGATTTGCGTTTCAAATAAACGCTGTTCTTTTGAACTTTCTGTTCATCTGTGAATCCCGAAAAATAAAATGTATCACAGTTTTCACAAAAATATTGTGCAGCACAATTTTTTTAAACATTTGATAATAATCAGAAATGTTTCTTAAGCAGCAAATCAGCATATTATACTGATTTCTGAAGATCGTGTGACAGTGAAGATGCTGAAAATTCAGCTTTGATCACAAAAATAAATTACAGTTTAATAGATATTCACATAGAAAACAGTTGTTTTACATTTAAATATTATTTCCCAATTTCTACTGTATACATTTTTTATCAAATACATGCAGCCTTGATGAGCAGAAGAGTTCTTTCAAAAACATAAAATCTTACCAACCAAACTTATATATATATATAGGTAGAGTTTTGTATTAAAACATTTATTAAAATCCCCCCATATTATCTATAATATAAATGCATGCCTTAATAAAGAAAACATTTGTAAATATATGCAAAATCACCTAGCAGCTCTGAGTAGGGCGTCGCTCCATCTCGAACTTCTAAAATGTCATAAGCCATCTCTAAAGCAACGTCTTGAAAATGCAGCTGGATATTCTGTCCTTCCTTAGCATGTAAAGTCCACATACCTCAACAAGACAATGACCAAAACATTAGAAACTGAAGCAGGCAGAGGTGCAGTTTCACATTATGTTTTAGAATCTTCTGTAAATTGTTCTGCATTCTTAAGGATCATAATATAATGTGTCTAGGACTCACATGAAGCTCTGTGTCCGTAGCCGTTGGGGTAGTTTGGAGAGCTGAATGTCCAGTTGGGCTCATACAGGTCAAACGGTCCCCAACAATCCTCTATGATGAATCATTCAAGCTCATCACATGAACGGGACTCCTTTGCAATCTCGTGCTAATATAAATGTCCTGACTGCAGCAGGTATAATCGCTCACCTGGTATAGGAGGAGGAGTGATGGGAGGAGGGACCGGGGTCGGCTCCGGAGGGCCCGCTCCACAAGAACCAGGTGCTACGCTGATATCATCCAGAGCAATGTCATTCAGAAACCCTGCCCTCTTCTGCGCCTCAAACACCACCTGAGAGACCGACCAAACGGCCGTTAATGACCTTATAAGCATCTTAGGTTATGAAGTTTAAAGGGATAGTTCACCCAAAAATGAAGATTCTGTCATTAATCACTCACCCTCGTGTCGTTCCAAACCTGTAAGAGCTTCGTTCATCTTCGATGATCAATGTAGCGCCTCAGAAACAGTTGTGTTTGCTACAAAGTGGTTGCCGAGCAACACACAAACGTAAACAAAGGTGTACGTTACTTTGTAGCGTCATTTACAACAGCTTCGAACACGGCTCAGCCAATCAGAATCAAGCACCGGAACTCTCCGCTTTATAATGCGGTTGAACCCCTGATGTCACGTGGATTATTTTAACAATGTCCTTGCTACGTTTCTGAGCCTTGATCGTGTTAGGATCCTTGCTGTCTGGAGGGTCAGAGAGCTCTCGGATTTCATCAGCAATATCTTAATCTGTGTTCTGAAGATGAACGAAAGTCTTCTGGGTTTGGAACAACATGAGGGTGAGTGATTAATGACAGAATTTTCATTTTTGGGTGAACTATCCCTTTAAGCCTGTTTGTACATGAGCTGACCACAGCCTCTGCAGTGATGTTTAGTGTGGCTTGACCGTAGTTCCAGCTGTCACCGTAGTTCCCTTCTTTCTGGAAGAGGACGGTGACGGATGAGCCTTCCTGTGCCGTGACCGTCAGACGCCAAACCTCCTCGCCAAACATGTGATACCTCAAAGAGCACAGGCACAAACCACTTACAGCCGAGCACAAAACAAGCACACTTGAGAAGAGCACTGAAATGTGCACTGTATGTAACGTTTTCAGACAATTGCATGATATTTACAATTAAATGAAAATGTATTATAGATAAATTTATATTAAACTAGCTGAACTTTAGTCTTGCAGGTCAAAAAAGCATGCTTACTCTGATAAATATTATATGCAAGTACGTTTTTAAAATGTGCTTTTAAGATTTGAAATGCACATGCAATACTTCTTCACATACTTGATTCATTCTAGCATTTTATCATCTTAATTTGCATTTATAGTCATTTTCATACAGTGTGCACAAATAAGCTGAATGTTTCCAAATGTTACCGCGGTGAGAAAAACTAACCAGAATTGCAGACACACTGATTCCTTTGTAGGAGTCAGAGGAAGACTGTATATACGGATTTTTTTATCCTGACTTCCAGGGGTCCGAGGGGTCACAATGTAGTACCCTATGAGATAAAAACCTATGTTCGTTACAGTACATCGGTATGCAAATCGTAATCGTAATAATTAATCAAAGTATAAATATAGCTGCAAGCTGGAGTTAAGAGGCAAGCAAAGCAGCAAGCATCAGACCAACTGCAAAAATGTGTCATTTTAAGATGATTTTAGTCAAAATAGCTGAAAAATTCTAAATACATGAATTAGTGAAGTGATTTAATGGTTTATTGCTTTTGACCAATAGGTGGCGCTGTTCTCAGATCGATGTGGTGTGGTCAGTGTGAGGTGACAATGACAGAGTTTGGTGTCAGAATGTCAAATCATTGCAGAGATACAGCCTCAGATATAAAATGTGGATATAAATCCATAACTTTTTGCCGGCATGGTCTGAAAATGATCAGATTCGAACTTAGTGAAAATCGGATGAACAGTCCAGGAGGAGTTCGAAAAAAGTAGGAAGTGAAGTTCGGCTAATTATGACATAATTGGTATCGATGTTCTCTCAAAGGAATCTCTCAAAACCAGTCTCATGATAACAGGCAAAAATAATCAAAAGATATGAGCATTTTTTGAAATTTTGCTATCATTTTTTACCTCAAGGGGGTGCTGCCCCATGACTTTTTGAGTACAGGGCACAGTGCCAAAGACACATAGTGAGTTTCGTAACGTTACGCCAATATGTTTGTAAAATATAGCATTTTACGATGAAATTATGGCCAACATCGGTAAACTGGCTCTGTGTCCCAATTCGCAAAAATAGTATCACAGAATGTTAAAAAAAAGTATGCCAAAGATTCCCGGATGGTCTACTACTTCCGGTTAGAATCCGAAGTGCAGATCGATGCACTCTCTAACGCCTAATATAGGAGTCAGAGGAAGACTGTATATACGGATTTTTTTATCCTGACTTCCAGGGGTCCGAGGGGTCACAATGTAGTACCCTATGAGATAAAAACCTATGTTCGTTACAGTACATCGGTATGCAAATCGTAATCGTAATAATTAATCAAAGTATAAATATAGCTGCAAGCTGGAGTTAAGAGGCAAGCAAAGCAGCAAGCATCAGACCAACTGCAAAAATGTGTCATTTTAAGATGATTTTAGTCAAAATAGCTGAAAAATTCTAAATACATGAATTAGTGAAGTGATTTAATGGTTTATTGCTTTTGACCAATAGGTGGCGCTGTTCTCAGATCGATGTGGTGTGGTCAGTGTGAGGTGACAATGACAGAGTTTGGTGTCAGAATGTCAAATCATTGCAGAGATACAGCCTCAGATATAAAATGTGGATATAAATCCATAACTTTTTGCCGGCATGGTCTGAAAATGATCAGATTCGAACTTAGTGAAAATCGGATGAACAGTCCAGGAGGAGTTCGAAAAAAGTAGGAAGTGAAGTTCGGCTAATTATGACATAATTGGTATCGATGTTCTCTCAAAGGAATCTCTCAAAACCAGTCTCATGATAACAGGCAAAAATAATCAAAAGATATGAGCATTTTTTGAAATTTTGCTATCATTTTTTACCTCAAGGGGGTGCTGCCCCATGACTTTTTGAGTACAGGGCACAGTGCCAAAGACACATAGTGAGTTTCGTAACGTTACGCCAATATGTTTGTAAAATATAGCATTTTACGATGAAATTATGGCCAACATCGGTAAACTGGCTCTGTGTCCCAATTCGCAAAAATAGTATCACAGAATGTTAAAAAAAAGTATGCCAAAGATTCCCGGATGGTCTACTACTTCCGGTTAGAATCCGAAGTACAGATCGATGCACTCTCTAACGGCTAATATTGCCCACAACACATTGCGCGGTGGACGAGGATTCCATTAGAACTACAAACACGCATGAAAAGGGTTTAAAAACTACCAACATGGTGGATATGCACGATCGACGGACAGGCCGAGAAAGGGGTTTGAGTGATAAATAATCAATGTCTAACCTGATTAAAAAATATTTAATGTTATGCACATTATATTTCATCTGCAGCAACATTGTGAACTTTTATAATGATACGTTTGGTCATTAACTTTTAAATGCATCATTATGCAAACAAATGAAGAGCGTTCTCGGCATGAAAGACACACAATGTGCCTCTTCATTTCTCTCCAATACGGTAGGAAATTAAATGAAATTACATGTGATTTTGTTACCTGTGATAAGATGATTACAGTGCCGTTTAAACCGTGACAGAATGCACGTAACTAAGCAACAGAGCATTCGTTAAAAACACAGTTATGACGAAGTAGTATGTCCCAAAGCTGGCCTACTATTCTGCTACATACTCAAAAGTTTGTACTTTTTCTACACAAAAAGAGTATATACTTTTAGGGCATAGTATAAGTAGGCGAATTGTGACGCAGCATGGGTATTGTTCAACTCTGTATGGCGCACTGAAACTTAAGAGACCAGTCTTGTAATTTTTGGCGAAAACCATTCAGAATTTATAAGCAAAAAGAGCCATTTTTCATATCTCCTGATCACTAGGTGGCGCTGCGCCAAAACTGTGCAGATATCCTCAGGTCATGTTTATTATAACACCCACCAAGTTTGGTCTCAATATGCTAAAGCGTTGTGGAGATATAGCCTCACATCCGTTTTGGCATGCTTTTCGACCAAATTCGTTCACGTGTTATTCAAGAACTGTTCGAATAATCAACTTGACTTTTAGTCAGCATGCTCTGAAGATGATCTGGCTCGATTTCTGTACAAATTGGAGCAATAGGGTAGGAGGAAAAATTCAAAATGATGTCATAGGGTGCAATCAATCCTACAGCCAAGGAGTCAGAGGAAAAAAATAACTTTTTTCAAAAAGGTGCAAATTTAAGCTGTTGGTGGCGCTAGAGGGTTTGAGATAGAGACTCCAAATTTGCTATGGTTAGTGTTGAGACTGTGCTCTATGTGTGTGCCAAATTTCACATTTTTCTATACAGCTCGGAGGTGCCACAGACTTCCAGAGTGGAAGAAGAAGAAGAAAGTTTAGTCTGTAATTGTTGCTGTATTTAATGGCACCTGACTGGTCTCCGGTCGTGTGGTCGAAGCTTGGGCCGGTGTCAGGAGGGACAATAGCGCCTTGTGCTCGAAACCAGTCGCCGTTGTCATTAAAATCTTGCCTCCAGTGACAGAAGTGCTCTTCAAAGGAGCAGTTTATCTTCTCTTCATCTACCAAAGAACATAGAATTCAATACAAGCTTGACGTTTCAGTAATAACTCCCAATATGATCAAATAAGCAAGTTGGCATTTTTGCACTTCGGGTTTTTTGAATGAGAATCTAACTCAAACTTTACAACTTGCAGATGACTTTCTACTTCTTGAGAAGCTTCAAGTTGTGCGCATTTGTGAAGATGATCTTGGAAAGACATTTAAGAGCCATAAAGCGGTCACACACTGCAAAAAAATGACTTTCATAGTATTTTTTTCTTGTTTTATAGTATAAATATCAACAAAAAAAAATCTTCAATTGAGATGCATTTACTTGACTTAAGATATTAAGTCTTGTTTTCTGAAAAACAAAAACAAAAGAAAAATAATCTTAATTCAAAGGCTAAACAAGATTATGTTTCTTGCCCTATTGGCAGATATTTTTGCTTGTTTTTTCAGAAAACACGACATAATATCTCAAATCATTTTACTTGTCAAGTAAATGCATCTTGATTGAAGAATTTATAGATATTTATACTAGAAGCGCTCTTTTAACTTTACCAAACGCATTCTATATGAGATACATCAGATATACATCAAATAAACACAATATTACAACGTACAATTGCACAAAAGGCTGCAAACGAACAGCGCGCATCTGAAGTGTCTCTGAAGGAAATAATGCATTATTTATCGGCTTTAAGATATCGGCCAAATTTTCTTATCAGGCCGATACCGATAACAGGAAAAATGAGCATTTATCGGCCGATACCGATATGGTGGCCGATATATCGTGCATCCCTATAGAAAACAAGACAAAAATACTAAGTAAGAAAGTCATTTTTTGCAGTGCAGAGCTTATTTTCTGCAATAAAACGATAACAGTCGTCGCTTCAGGACTCTATATGCCTGTGAATAAACTAGAGCACTCTATAAATTGACTCAATGGCAGTATAAGCTGAAATCAACACCCACTAGAGAGATCTTTGACGTTCTCTGCCGTGTAAGTCGCGTTGAATCCTTGAAGGCTGTTGACGTAGTCTGCGAAAAACTCAACAGTGGCTTCATGCGATAAGAGCCATATGTCTCCAGGAGATGCGCCTGAGAGCGAGTCTGAACGAGAAAGGCTGATGTCAAGACTTCAGAAGACTTCCTTCTCGTAATATCAGGGTTTTGTTGTGAATCTCACGTGTCAGTGTTTTCATGGGGCCCGTGCCCTCGTACAGCCTCAGAACGTCGATGTCCTGCTCCGTATGGAAAGTGTGAAAGACTATTTTGACGGCCGAGCCCTCAGTCACTCTGTGTGTGAAATGACAGACTGTGTGAGTTTGTGAGACACCAGAAATATCGTCCAAATATAATCATTTATTTTCAGGATGTTGGAGAAGTTGTGGTGAACTTAAAGCTCATTACACTCATATGTGTGACCCTGGAGCACAAAAGCAGTCATAAGGGTCTTCAAGGGACATCATGAATAAACAAGCTTTCCATTGATGTATGGTTTGTTAGGAGAGGACAATATTTGGCTGAGATACAACTATTTGAAAATCTGGAATCTGAGGATGCAAAAAAATCTAAATATTGAGAAAATCATCTTTAAAGTTGTCCAAATGAAGTTCTTAGCAATGCATATTACTAATCAAACATTAAGTTTTGATATATTTACGGTAGGAGATGTACAAAATATCTTCATGGAACATGATCTTTACTTAATATCCTAATGATTTTTGGCATAAAAGAGAAATGTATAATTGTGACCCATACAATGTATTGTTGGCTATTGCTACAAATATCCCCCAGCGACTCAACACTGCTTTTGTGCTGCAGGGACACAGATATTATACCTTTAAAATATATATGTTTTAAATTCTGGACAGAAGTAATTCAGGTAATAGTAGAAATGTTTAAGAAATGAAATATAATAAAGATACAAAATATAGTTTTGTGTATATAGGAACTATGCTACTTACTGAAGATGAGTTATATTTATTTAGAATATTGAGAATTGCAGCTTTTAAAGCAATAACAACATTTTGAAAAAGAGGGAAGAATCCCCGGCTTTAAGTGATCGGTTAGATTTAGTTTCTATAGTACACTCTATGGAAAGGATAACATAAGGAATAACTACTGGTAAAAAAAATATTATGTCTTCAAAGGAAAAATTAACTTGCATTATTGTATTAAATGTGTTTTTGAATTGAAAGACATAATAAAGTATTTAAAAACCCAACCCTGAAACAACTAACAGAACTACCACATTTTGCTACAAGTTTGCTTGCATCATATAATAACTGCTGTTAATAGTGTTCATCGTCTGTTTGATTAACAGACCGTCTTTAATTGATTTTTCCGTACATTTCTGCCATATGTACATTAACTGACAGTCACCACTGATAAACTACCACTAAATATATTGTAGAAACTTAATTTTCTGTAAAGCTGCTTTATTACAACAATTTGTATCGTGAAAAGCGCTGTACAAATAAACTTGAATTGAATTGAATTGAAAGAGTTTGTGAGATAGTGATGTATGTGTAGATGTGTCTGATTATCATATTACCGTATGATCCAGCGGCAGGCCGTGGGACTGTCATAGACCTCGGGAAAGTGTTTTGAGTGGAAGGATCCGGTCGCTCCGAGCAGAAGAAACTGACCGTCACACTCTGTTGCTACAGCGCATGAAAGACACTGCATGCATCACAATGAATGCATCTCAAAAGCACTAGTATTGTGTGTGTGTGTGTGTGTGTGTGAGAGAGAGAGTGCGTGTGTGTGTGAGTCAGAGAGTGTGTGTGTGTGTGAGTGAGTGTGTGTGAGAGAGAGAGAGAGTGTGTGTGTGTGTGTGTGAGAGAGAGAGTGCGTGTGTGTGTGAGTCAGAGAGTGTGTGTGTGTGTGAGTGAGTGTGTGTGAGAGAGAGAGAGAGTGTGTGTGTGTGTGTGTGAGAGAGAGAGTGCGTGTGTGTGTGAGTCAGAGAGTGTGTGTGTGTGTGAGTGAGTGTGTGTGAGAGAGAGAGAGAGTGTGTGTGTGTGTGTGTGAGAGAGAGAGTGCGTGTGTGTGTGAGTCAGAGAGTGTGTGTGTGTGTGAGTGAGTGTGTGTGAGAGAGAGAGAGAGTGTGTGTGTGTGTGTGTGAGAGAGAGAGTGAGAGTGTGTGTGTGTGTGTGTAAATGCATATATAAAGGACATACCACAGAGAGTGTGCTGCTCATCGGTGCTGTCAGCACAGCTCTGTACTCCGTCACAGAAGTCCGACTGAGGAACACATGCTGACCCATCAACACAAGCCTTCTGTCCTTCTGGACAACTCACTGTAGTGACTGACAGCAGACGCACCACTATTACCAACAACTTCAGAAACGTTCGCTTTTTAAACAAATCACTAATTTTTACAAACATTTAAATGCATAGTTATAAACTATACAATACCTAAATTTGGGGTAGGTACGATTTTTTGAATTAAGTCTCCTATTCTCTGATCATAAATAGATTAAAAACTGTAATATTGTACAATTTTTATTTATGCATTAAACTACACAAACAATAAATAAATACCTCTCTAGTAAATTTATCTCGTTTTAAAAATATCTCAAATAGAAATTCTCATTAAGAAAATGTTTGTTTGTTTTTGCACTGAAGCATTTCACAAACTCACAGCTGTTGGTTATTACATCTCCTAAATACATGGACAAAATATTAATAATGCTAGCTTAGGTGCTTTAATATATAAAGTCTGACCTGAACTCGTTGACCTTGCAGCTTCTGAACTGCTCTTTAAGCGAAGTACGACTGTAAGCGTCACTGATCTGCAGAGAAAACTGATTTATTATCACACTGAAATACTGATCAATAACTTACAGAATGAAAAGATACGCATTACAATCATTACTAGGATTTCATCTCATGAAAATGTGTTAAAAAAGTCTAAAATGATCATTTGCGTCATTAAGCTTATCGTTAATGTGCCATTAACAGTTTTCTATTTGAACATTATTTTCATGACAATTAAGCAACTTAATTTTCTAAATTATCATAATGCATATACGTGCATAATATTCGAATAACATTTTTGTAATAATATAATAAATATAAATGTATTATATTCTCGTTGACATTATAAAGCAATGTCTACAGTATTACTGTAAAACAATTACCGTGATGGTGTTTAGTGTTTGTGTGAATGACACTGTGCACCTTCTATATATGTTATTATTTAAAAGCTGCTTGTGATGGGCTTTGGTTCATCATGTGACTCTCATCACCTCCTGCTTTTGGTGGATATCAGTGTATTACAAAGATACAAAACAGACTTCAGGATTTCAATAGGTTGGTATAATAACATTATATCAGTTAATGAAATTATGGTATTTAACTGTAAATTTAGGTTAAAACCGTAATACCTCAAATGTAGCTACCAGATTTTTTACGGTAAATTTTACGGATTTTTTTTTCAGTGTATATACACACACTGTATATGTGTGTATGTATATATACAGTATATATATATATGTATTTTTTTTTTTATGTTCACTCCTGTTCAAAAGTTTGAGTCTGTAATATTATTTAATGTTTCTGAAAAAAGCCTCTCCTGCTCATCAAGGCTGCATTTATTTGTTTAAAAATACAGTAAAAATTGTGAAATATTATT